ATTTTATATGATTTTCTGCTGTATTATTTTATTTGCTGTTTAGTTATTTATGGACATTTGTACAAGGGGCCGTCCAGATATCTCGAGCGGCAGAGTCGTCTCGTGTTCAGGCGAACACCTTGGGGTTGGCGACGTAGAGTTCGGCCATGGCGCGAACCTGCGAGCTCGACCTGAACTTCTGAATGCTCGGATCGGCCTTGTCGTCCAGTCCGCGAGGCGACACCGAGGCGGTGGAAGAGGTGGGGTCCGACTTGCGGAGCGACGACGACGATGACGGACCCGCTCCCTGTTCGACGGCCGCTCGCTCGAGCCGCTGCTCCCACTTGCTGAGGCCCCGGCGCTGCGGCTGGCTCTCTGCGCCGGCGTCGTCAATCTGGCCGACGGGTTCGTAGGTCTCGTGGCTGCGGCGGAGCGAAAGAAGCTTCATTTCCACGGCGGAGGTGTGTGTGCTGAGCGTGGAGGGCTACTTGTGCCGTAGCGGTTGTGGTTGTTGTGCTGTGCTGGCGGTCAGTTGAGAATGAGGTCTGCCCACTGTGCTGGGCCTTTTTGTGGTTGGGCGGGCGCAGATACCAACCACGGGGACAAACACAAATTAAAAAACGCCAATAGGATTTCTCTCCGATCTGTGGCTGATTGTTGCGGGCGCCATTATTATGTCGCTCTTATCGGCGCCAATGATGCCCTCTCGCCAGATAGGGTGGCGCCAACCGAAATGTCGTTATGCGGCGGATTGTAAGCCTCGGCGCGGTGTGTGTCGTGTGTGTGTATCGTGTGTGTCTCGTGTGTCGTGTGCGGGGTGCGTGCGTGCATGGCTCTTGGCGTGGGAGGGTAACGTGGCGCTGGTGGTGTGTCTGCTGGTGCAAGGCCGGGGTGGGGCTCGCAGAGGAGGGTACGGGGTGGACGGCCCTCCACCTGGCGGCGCGCCGAGGGCACGAAGAGGTATTGGCGGCTCTCGTGCAGGCCAGGCCTCGGCACCAGACCGCTTCAGATGTTCGGTGCTGCAGCGCTGCCATCGGCCGCTTTCTTCAGGAGAGCGGCCTCGTCAACCACTGGCAGCTTTTCTGTTGTGTTCAAAAAAAAAAAAACAAAAACACAAAAAACGTCAAAACGAAAACAGATGGAGGGCAGTGCGGAGGCCAAAGTAGAGCAGAAGGAGGGACAGCCAGGGTGGGACGAGTACGCGCTGCTGCATGCGCGCCGGCCCTCCGGAGATGAAGACGTGCAGCACCGCATCCGCATCAAGCAGGTGCCCGGCAGTGGCACCACCGGCGGCATCGTGTGGAACGCCGCCAAAGTCCTCCTCCAGGTACTCCTCTTCCTTGTAACATCAATCCAACTTTTTTATTTATTATTTATTTGTTTTTTGTTCTTATTTATTGTTTTTATGATTCTTATTTGTTTTTCTTCTTTTCGGGCCAGTTGTTGGGTGCGGAGGAGGGCGAGGGCGGGATCCGCGTGGGCGGAAGGCGCGTGATGGACCTGGGCAGCGGCACCGGCTTGCTGGGCCTCGTGTGCGCGGCCCTCGGCGCCGCCCGTGTCGTGCTCACCGACGTGCCCCAACAGCTGCCACTCTTGCGGCACGTCACCTGCACTGCGCGCGTTTGTGGGCAGTGATGCGTGTTTGTGTCGTGTGCGGTGGTGCGTGTGCGATGGTGTGTGTTGCGTCGAGCTGACACGAACCGTGTGGCCGCACACAGGGAAAATGTGGCACTCAACCTGCGGGCGCTGCCCGAGGGCAGCGTGGAGCCGGAGGTGCAGGCCCTGGAGTGGGGTGGTGAGGTGGCCCACCTCGCGCCGCCGTTCGACCTCGTCGTGTGCAGTGACCTCGTCTTCTGCGCACACAACGCCGGCTGTCTGCCGGCCCTCCTCCACGCCATACTCACCCTCAGCGAGGTTTGGCGCGTGTCGTGTCGTGTCGTGTCGTGTCGTGTCGTGTCGTGTCGTGTCGTGTCGTGTCGTGTCGTGTCGTGTCGACTCTGACACGTCGGTGGGGGAAAGCAGGAGGGCACGGAAGTGGTGGTGGCGTTCCAGGAGCGGCTCGGGTGGATCGAGGCGCGGTTCATGGAGGAGGTCAAGCGACACTTTGGCCAGTGCCGCGAGGTGGAGATCAGCGAGGCGGCCCTCCAGCGAGCAACGGCGCGCGAGGGCGAGGAGGAGTTCGAGGGCATGAGCTCCATGTTCCACGAAGACATCGGCATGCACGTCTACCTCCTCTCCCACAAGCTGTCTTCTCCTGCACCTTCTCCTTCATCTTGACACGTAGCATGTCATCATAAATAAACACAAGTTCTTTTGTTTTTTTTAATTTCATTAAAAATATACGATAAATGTTGCGAACATACCGCACACAAGCATGTGCGGAGGCCGAGGAGCCTATATATCCCTGGCCACCAACAAAAAACATACACACACGTTGCTAGTGCGTGACGATCCTCATGCCGCCGTACTTGGCGATCTTCTCGGGGAAGTTCTCGCCGGGGCACGAGATGAACATGAAGTTCTGGGGCACGTGCAACTTCTCCGCCAGCGTGTGCACGACTCGCGCCGTGAAGCCCTCGGCATGCACCGTCACCTAGGGGGCGGGTTGCAGAAATGTAAGCCAAAACATCCGTGTGCTAGTGCGTGTCGTGTCGTGTCGTGTGCGGTGGTGGCGTACGAGATCGATCCTGAGCTTGGGGTACATCTCGTCCAGGATTTCGACGTGGTGGACCAGCCTGGGGGGGATTTCCTCCTCCGTCCTGTAGACGTGGCAGATCTTCATCCTGTGGTGCGTGTCAGAGCGTGTCACACGACACGAGACACGACACGACACGCACCAGTAACACACAGGTTGTGCAAGACGAACCTTTCCGTAAGCTCGTTCTCGCGAACGTAGAGCACGGCCTTGTTGAGCATCTCCAGATCGTCCGACTTGGCGAAGAACACCACGTGCTGCTTGTTGATCTTTCGCACTGCAACCGTTCATTTTAGTATTTTATTTATTTATTTATTAGTTATTCATTATTTAATAAATGACGTAAATGCACTCTGTAAATAATAAGAAGAACAATGACAAGAAAATATGGAGCAAGGGCTTGGGGGGGAGGCGCGTACCCTGGGATCGGATCCACTTGCCGATGTAGCGGTCGAGGAAGGTGTTGGCGAGGAAGTAGAGGACGACCTTGAGGATTCGCGTGCGCGTGAACATGACCAGCACGATCGAGAGCGTCACCGAGAAGTAGATCGCGAAGTACTTGATGTTGTCCGGGTTGTAGATCACGTTACCGATCCAACCTGGGTCGTGGCGTCACAGTGTAAGTATTGAGATCTTTTTATAGTTATTTTATATAAATATATAAATGTATATATTCATACACCAATATAATAGCGAATAGGTACGCACCGGCGATCATGAAGCCGAGGCCGAGGAGCACGGAGATCCAGCTGACCTTCTCGTCACGCGGGAGACGGTCGCGCTTGTACTTGAGCAGAATGTTGCCGATCGCGAACAGACCCATCACGCTCTGCGCGCGTTCGTGTGTGCGTGTGCGTGTGCGGTCAGCAATCAAAGTGACAAGTGTGAGCGCCACGTAACACACATACGTACCAGGAAGCTGATGGCATACACGCCGGCCAGCGTCTCAACGGCACCGTCGACGATGATGAACAGCGAGGAGGTGATGCAGAAGAAACCTGCGAATAGAGACGGAATTAGGCGCCAAAGGCACAATATAGAGAAAAAAATATTTTAAAAAAATGACCGGCCAGAGCGGATCCGCACCGATGATGATGATGGGCTCGGTGCCGGTGAGCGGGTTCTTGTAGAGCAGGAACTGGGGCAGGCACCTGTCGAGGGTCATGCGGCGCACGAGGCCGATGATGCCGACGTACGAGGTCAGCACGGAACCGCACAGCACGAGCGTGGCGTCGGCCGACACGAGGATGTTCAGCCACTGGCCTCCGGTGACCTTTAGACCACCAACCACAACGAACGTGTGAGCTGTTCCATTGTAACCCGGCCTCTCAATATCAATAACACACGACACACACGACACACAAAGGGAGAGCGTACGCCGCCGACTTCGGCAAGGACGTAGTTGCTGTTGGCAACGATCTGCGGGATGGAAACGGTGCCCAGGGAGAGGAGGCCCAGGAGCGGGTTGAAGATGGCCACGGCGATCCACATGTTGCGCAGGGTCTACGCGTTCCATCAAATACACGCATTCGCACACAACACGACACCACGGATCAGTTCAATGTCCATAACCTGACAACCGCAAAAAACCGAGCGTGGCGCGCGTGTACCTTGGGGAAGACGCCGTCCTTCTGCTCCTCGATGTAGTTGGCCGAGGTCTCGAAGCCCGTCACACCGAGCAGGCCGGAGCAGTAGCCAAAGTAGATGTCGGACACTACGTTGTTGATGGGCGGCGTGCTCCAGTTGTCCACCAGCGTCGACCAATCCTGCCAGGCAATGTCGATCAATAAGAAAGACAACAATAATAAGGCAATAATAATTATAATTTATGTAGAAATATAAAAATAATATGTAGAATTAAGATTGCGACG